CTTTGTCTTGCTCTATAAATATAGAGCCTATCCTTCCATTCAAGAGGTTCCAAGAATTGGTCTAAGGCTCCATACATATATCTCTCTCCATATCTCCTCCATTTTAGTCCAAAAGGGTCTTGTTCTTGGCCTATTGCACACCACTTCATAGCCACACACTTCCATCATCACTTGGAGGTTCTTGGAGCTTGTTTTCAGAGGTTGAGGACTGGTTTTTGAGACCTAAAGGCTGCTGGTTCTTGCTGGTCTTCAAAGGTAACTTCTTACCCTCTTTATTCCCCGTTTTTGCACACCCTTTTAGCCTATCTTGCTTGCGGATTTGGGCTTGGTGTATAACGTAAAAAAGTTCTTTTTTTTTTGTGCTTAAGATACTTCATTAAGACCACTTTTGTGTTTGGGGTCGTTTACCCCCCTCTTAGGCCTTGTTTGGCCTCATTTTTGTGTGATTTTGGTGAGCACCGGGACCACCTTGTTTGGGCCTCCTCACCACTGAAATGGTGGTTTGAGGTCTTAAGAAGGAGAGGGGTGACCCTTTCCCTTGTTGCCTTGTTTGTTGCCCTTTTTGGCCTTCCAAAGGGGCTCCTATTTGCATGCTTCCAAGCCTTGTTTCAAGCATTTTTCAGTGGGTTAGTTGGTTTGGTCTTGTTGAATGTCCTTATTGAAGTATCTTAAGGATGCTTGAATGTCCTTAAGTATCTTAAGGATGCTTGAATGTCCTTAAGTATCTTAAGTATCTTAAGGATGCTTGAATGTCCTATTTGAATGTCCTTATTGAATGTCAGTGGGTTAGTTGGTTTGGTTTGGCCTTGGTTTGGTTTGGCCTTGTAACCCATTTTTCAGTGGGTTACAAGCTTCCAACCTGAGTTCAGAACGTTCAACGGTCAACCACAACGTAAGGCCTGTGTGGCCATTTTCAAGCAGCCCTCGAACAAGAGGCACCAAAGTCAGATCAAGAAGATCAGATCAAAGGAAGCTTGTAAAGCTAGATCAGAAGCCCCCCTCAAACTAGGGGCAAAAATGTCAGATATGCTCGAAGAGCCGAAGATAGATCCTTCAGTAAATCCATACAACAGCCACTCTCCTGGATATGGATGGCTTCAAAACCCTAAAACCATTTGGCATGGACTTGTTACACTTTTACCCTTTGAGAGGCTCGCTGGGCCGAAAACCCGGAAGGGCGACCCAGGTAAAAGTTAGAGCAAGAGAAAAACAAAAAAAGAAGAAAAAATGCAAAAGAAAAGAAAACAAGAAAGAAAGAAAATGCAAAAAAAGAAGAGAAAAAGAAATGAAAAAAAATTGAAAAGAAAAGAAGAACAAAGCTCGCAAGGTCGAAAACCCGCAACGGGCGCCTTGGCAAAAGTTAGAGCCTAAAAAGGAAAGGATAATACCCGAGTGTACCTTATCCCAAACTACGTAAGGCTTGATTTCCATGTTTGGGATATGTAGGCAACTTCATCTTGAAGTCCAGCCGCATACACTTCGAATTCGATTATGTCCATGTGATGGTTCTGGTCATCTTTGTCTTCTCTGTATCTGAGAATTTGGTTGCGTTCGTCGCTCTGAGGACTGCCCACAAAGCGCTGCGGTGCCATCCAAACAAGGAGCAACTTTCCGTTGCCATTCAATGCGTTGCGGTGCTATCCAAACAAGGGCCAACTTTCCGTTGCCATTCAATGCACCGCGGTGTCATCCAAACAAGGGGCAACTTTCCGTTGCCATTCAATGCGTGAGTTGCAGTTCAAACAAGGGGTTGACTGTCTTGTTGCCATGCAGCTCCTCTCAAGCAAGAGGCAATTTTCTTTGGATCCGAGGTTGTGCATCTCAAGTGTAAGTTTCGCGCTTGTTATAGCATCGGCCGTTTGCAAAAATAGTTTTTGAGAATTTTTTACTGAGGTTGATTAATTTTCTCAAAATTGTTTCCATCTTTTTCCAAAAACTGGACCATTTTCTTGGACCCAAAAAGGGAAAATTTTCAGTGCTCATAACCTGACTTGCATGATTTTCAAATCAAAAATCGAAACAAGTATGTTAATCTAATTTCACTATGGTCAAAATTGTTTTAGTAGAAAACCAAAAGCCAAAAAAATGGTCAAAATGATGAACTAGGGCACAGTTTAAGTCAAGCTTCCTGTCTTTTCCCCATTTTTAATCTACTTGCAAGAAGGGCACTCTACCTGCCAGAAGAAGGCACAACTGAAGTTAACAACAAAGAGGCTGAAAGCTTTCATCCTCCAAGCAACGAGTATCAAGCCAAGTGCGAAGCATGAACGGGAACGGATCAAGATATTCCACTCCCTTATCTAGACAGATATGCCACGTCCAAACTCCTCAGCAGAGCATCGTCAACCGATGTCAAGCTGCCAGATTTGCTACACACCCAATTGTAGCGCAGCCCCTCTATGGAAGAAACTCATTGTGTGACACCAAGAATGAAGAATCTAGGCAGTAATGCTAGGGGTAAGAGCCCACCAACTTGTCTATTTATTCAATTCAACTGCCCAGGGAGCGATTAATTAAAATGTGGATCGCAGGGATTGAATAATAGAGAGATGTGCAGAGGGCTTTTTCAGAAAAATAGAGCTTGAGGGCCGAGTGATGTGAGGATCACAAATGAGAAAGGGTGGGAAACAATACCCGAAGAAACAGGTTCCCTGTGCACGTCTGTATGTCGTGTCTTTTGCTTCGTTTATCTCAAATCTTGTTTTGAGTCGTTCCGAGCGTGTCTCATTGTGTTTAGGTTATTTTACCTTTGTTTTCCATTTTTTGAGTCCTTTTGGCTGTGGTCAGTTGTAGGCTCAATACCCGGTCGAGAACTCATTCTCAATTTCAAAAATGAATCGTTTTGTGCTCAGAGTGCTGTGCCATTCTCCATATTTGTGCAAAACAAGAATTTGTTCTTTCTTGTGTTCAACCCAAGTCATGCAAGAACAGTAAAACAAGGACCTATTTGAAGCTATATGGGTTCCAGACTACAAAGTAAAAGAAAAGAGAAAAAATCGAAGCATCTGAGTGTGCTTCACCTTCAGCAAATTCCGTGATTATACTCCGGATGTACCTCTTCAGGCCTTGTCAGTGTTCCGAAGAATGAGTGTGCCTCTACTCCGAGCTTAAGCCTGCTTCAAGTCAGAATGGCAATTAAAGCAACAGCAGATGTTACCTCTCGCCAATATAAACAGGGTGTCCCCTTTTCAGGCGGAGTGTGTTACAAACCCCTTCGAGAGGTAAATCGAAGGTCGCATTTGGATTTGGCCTCGTTAAGGCTTGTATTTCCTCGTTCGGCATTTTGTTTCAAACATGCTTTTGAAGTTACACATTTTTTTGGGTGAATAAGACATAAATAAAAGACAAAGAATATACAAGATTACAAGGAGCTATACAGCAAAAAAGAAACCATAAGCAGACTTAAACAATGTTCAGGATCCATATCTAAGAAAATAGGGAAAATGAACATTGTGAAACCAAAAGGTGAAACTATAGACATGACAAACCCACAACTATCTACATCTATCTAGCATTGTTATGCTCATTACTTGCTTTTTTATGCACATCTATCTTGCATTGTCGTGCACCTCTTCACTTGCGTTGTCACGCACTTTCCACTTGCATTGTTATGCACGCTCTCTTATTCTGGAACACTGGGACACGTCCCTATGTTTCTTTTTTTTTCTGAAACACCGGGATACGTCCCTATGTTTCTCTTTCCTTCCAAAACACCGGGATACGTCCCTATGTTTCTCATTGCTTGCGGAACACCGGGATACGTCCCTATGTTTCTCTCTCTTCGAAACAACGGGATACGTCCCTATGTTTCTCCTTTAATTCGAAACACTGGGATACGTCCCTATGTTTCTCATTGCTTGCGGAACACCGGGATACGTCCCTATGTTTCTCTCTCTTCGAAACAACGAGATACGTCCCTACGTTTCTCCTTCCCTTCGAAACACCGGGATACGTCCCTATGTTTCTCATTGCTTGCGAAACACCAGGATACGTCCCTACGTTTCTCTCTCTTCGAAACAACGGGATACGTCCCTATGTTTCGCCTTTAATTCGAAACACCGGGATACGTCCCTATGTTTCTCATTGCTTGCGGAACACCGGGATACGTCCCTACGTTTCTCTCTCTTCGAAACAACGGGATACATCCCTACGTTTCTCTTTCCTTTCGAAACACCGGGATACATCCCTATGTTTCTCTTTCCTTTCAAAACACCGGGATACGTCCCTATGTTTCTCATTGCTTGCGGAACACCGGGATATGTCCCTATGTTTCTCATTCCTTCCGAAACTTCGGGATACGTCCCTATGTTTCTCTTTTCTTTCAGAGACATCGGGATACGTCCCTATGTTTCTCTCTTCTTTCAGAGACATCGGGATGCGTCCCTACGTTTCTCCTTCCTTTCGAAACACCGGGATATGTGCCTATGTTTCTCATTGCTTGCGGAACATCGGGATACGTCCCTACGTTTCTCTCTCTTCGAAACAACGGGATACATCCCTATGTTTCTCCTTTAATTCGAAACACCGGGATACGTCCCTATGTTTCTTATTCTTGCAAAACACCGGGATACGTCCCTACGTTTCTCTCTCTTCGAAACGCCGGGATACGTCCCTATGTTTCTCCTTCTTTCGGAAACACCGGGATACGTCCCTATGTTTCTCATTCTTTCCGAAACTTCGGGATACGTCCCTATGTTTCTCTCTTCTTTCAGAGACATCGGGATACGTCCCTATGTTTCTCTCTTCTTTTAGAGACATCGGGATACGTCGCTGTGTTTCTCCTTCATTCCGAAACACCGGGATACGTCCCTATGTTTCTCTCTTTTTTCTGAAACACCAGGATACGTCCCTATGTTTCTCCTTCTTTTTTCGAAACACCGGGATACGTCCCTATGTTTCTTCTTCTTTTTCGAAACACCGGGATACGTCCCTATGTTTCTTCCTCTTCGGTTAAAAGCGTTTCGAATACGTTCCAATGCTCACACCATTCCGAAACACCGGGATATGTCCCTACGTTTCTTCCTCTTTGGTTAAGAGCATTTGGAATATGTTCTGGTGCTTGAACCACTCTGGAACACTGGGATGCATCCCTATGTTTCTTTTTCTTTCTGAAACACTGGGATACGTCTCTATGTTTCTCTTTTAATTCGAAACACCGGGATACGTCCCTACGTTTTTTCTCCCTTCTTTCCGAAACACCGGGATACGTCCCTATGTTTCTTCTCTTTTTTCGAAACACTGGGATACGTCCCTATGTTTCTCCTTCTTTTTCTAAAACACCGGGATACGTCCCTATATTTCTCCTTCGTTTCGAAACACCGGGATATGTCCCTATGTTTCTCCCTCTTTGGTTAAGAGCATTTGGAATACGTTCCAATGGTTATACATTTCCGAAACACCGGGATACACGTCCCTATGTTTCTTGCATGATCATAAGTTATGCTCGGCTTTGTGCATTGTCTTGCATTTTGCCCCTGCCCTCGGGCGCATACCTTTATTTGTAGCTTGTATGCTTTGTCTAAGTCTTCGGCCTTGTCAAAAATGGGTCGTCTCTGGGCTTTGACATTCACTCCCGTCATTTATGACTTCTGAGTTCTGTCAAAGAGGGGCAACTGTAGACACCCCATTTTTGACCGCCCTTAAGACTTGGACGGTTCATCGTTTGAACACTCGGTGATCATCCTTGTTTGTGTTCGTCTTGAGTTCCCGGAGGTCTCGGCTACGCGCCCTGCCTCAGGATCTCTCGACTCGACTGCTTTGTGTCTGGTTTTGCACCAAGCACTTGTTGTTTTGCTTCTGAGGGTGGGAAGTAGTTTGTAGGCCATCCCCACACCTCACCGGCCATGGCTTCAGGCCACCGGCCTTGTTTCCTTGCCACCGCCCACTGGTGATGGCCGGTCGGCACTATTGATAGTCGGTCGGCATTATGTTTGGTCGGGCGGCCACTGTTTTTGATCAATCAGCCACTTGTCCTGACCGAGACCTTTTCTTAAGAGAGCTTGACCCTTTTGAACCTTTTTTTAGCTTCTCCAAGAAGCTTGACCCTTTTGACCCTTTTTAGCTTCTCCAAGAAGCTTGACCCTTTTTTTAGCTTCTCCAAGAAGCTTGACCTTTTTTTTTAGCTTCTCCAAGAAGCTTGAACCTCTTGACCCCTTTGCCTAGCTTCTTCAAGAAGCTTGGCCCTTTTGATCCAAGCTTCTAAGAGAAACTTGGCCTTTTTGCTCAAAGCTTCCAAGAGAAGCTTTGCCCCCTTGGTTTCTCTATAAAAAGAGGGCCTCTCCTCCCCTTTAGAGGGTTAGAAAAATCAGATATATATGATATATATATCACTCCCTCTCTATATCTCCCTCTCTCTCTACATTTGTGTAGGTTAGAGGGTCCAAAAGGGTCTTGTTCTTGGCCTATTGCACACCACTTCATAGCCACACACTTCCATCATCACTTGGAGGTTCTCTGAGCTTGTTTTCAGAGGTTGAGGACTGGTTTTTGAGACCTAAAGGCTGCTGGTTCTTGCTGGTCTTCAAAGGTAACTTCTTACCCTCTTCATTCTCCGTTTTTGCACACCCTTTTAGCCTGTCTTGCTTGCGGATTTGGGCTTGGTGTATAACATAAAAAAGTTCTGTTTTTTTGTGTTTAAGATTTTCATTAAGACCACTTTTGTGTTTGGGGTCGTTTACCCCCTCTTAGGCCTTGTTTGGCCCCATTTTTGTGTGATTTTGGTGAGTTCTGTGATGACCTTGTTTGGGCCTCCTCACCACTGAAATCCCTCAAGATTTCAGTGGTGAGGATGGTGGTTTGAGGTCCTAAGAAGGAAAGGGGTGACCCTCTCCCTTGTTGCCTTGTTTGTTGCCCTTTTTGGCCTTCCAAAGGGGCTCCTATTTGCATGCTTCCAAGCCTTGTTTCAAGCATTTTTCAATGGGTTTTAGGACCCCCATAAGCTATTTCTAGAGTTGGTTTGGTCTTGTTGAATGTCCTTATTGCATGTGTAGAGTAACCCTCTTGTTGGACTTTCAATGGAACGCCCCATTCTAGCATGTGTGGACCTTGTTTCCATGGGTTTTTGGGGCTTATTTGACATACCATGTTACTGTTTTTGCTTGGTTTAATGGTCCCTTACATGCACCTTACACTTGCCTTACATTCCTTTATTTTGCATAGAAAGGCATCTTGCATT